ACGCGCGCGCAGGCGGAGCCCCGGCCCTCTGATGACGCTGGCTATGGCTGACTTCGCCGGGAATATTCGCGTGGGCCGCAGGACCCGAGCTGCCCCCGCCTCCGGGAAGGCTACAGGTAGGAACAACGACCTCTTCTCACGTTTGGACCCTGCGAACTGGGCCCCCGACCGAATCGCACACCGAGGAGCCCGGCGCACCAGAAGCACCCCGGGGGAGTCCGCGCGCTTCTGGGAAAGACTTCCCGACCCCTCGGCCTTTTTAGGGGAGTAGGGGGACTTTCCCCAGCGTGGGCTGCCGCCACAGCCTCCTAGGGAAAAGGCAGGGGAGGCCCGGAGATTTAGCTCAGTGGTGCCGCGTCTGCCTTGCAGGCGCAAGGTCGTGGCTTTGGTCCCTGGTATGGGGGGAAAAAAGGCAGTGGAGCTGCAGGGGACCCCCAAGTGACCAGGGCACTGTAGGCAGGCCGTGTGCAACTTGCCTGGAACATCTGGGACGACTCCTCCAAAGCAATTCAGGTGTCCAGTTTTCTGAGGTTGTCGGACTCGCAGCAGGGAGCGAACATTTGGGAGACACGAGACCTTTACTCAAAAAGTGTGCAGGTCAGGGAATTTTTTAAGAACTGTGATTTTTAAGCATCTGGGATAAAAATTCAAGATCTGATGCTGTCATTTTTAACCAGGGAAAATTGGGAATGATTAATTTACAAAAATCAAATATTCCTATTTCATTTAGATTTACTTACAGGATTGAAAATGAAATGTAGAGCAAAATAGTCTGTTATTTGGGCAGGAATGTATTCTATACTTGATGCATTTCTGTAAGCCTGAGCTTTTTTTTTTTTTTAGTATTTTTGAGACAGGCTCTAGCTGTATAGTTCAGGCTGGCCTTGAACTCACTGGGTACGTTGCCCAGGCTGGCCTCAAACTCAGGACAATCCTGCCTCAGCCCCACCCCACCCCTCGCTGAGATTACAGATGTGCACCACCACTCCTGCCCTGACCTATTAATTTTTTCAATTGTAGGTACTAAACAAACAAGAGCCACGAGACAAGAAGATGCTTCTAAAAGGTATGAGAACTATTTGGACAACTGCACCCACTTATATTTTAACTAATACTAGTAACTGAATCCGTTTTTAAAACAATTATTTTTTTGAAGAAAATTATTAGAGATTAAGAAATTCAAAACTAGAAAGGTGTCTTTGGGAACATTCCTGAATTAACTAGGTGCTCCTTTGGCACCTCTGCAGGTGCACTCTGTTTTTGTTACTGTATATGTCAGATTCACTGTCCAAGTTTCTCTCTTTAGCGCTCCAAGAAACTTTTTCTCTTCTTTGCTACATCACGTCCAGGTTTTCATTTAAAAATTTTAAAAAACTGTTCTATGCTATCTCTTGACTCCTAAAAAGGGTTTCCCTTTTTAGATACTGTCTCGTCACAAAAGTCTGTGAAGTCTATGGAGAGCAAGATATATGTGTATATATCTGTATGTGTGACATGACTATGAAGACATTCATTTTTTATTGACTGTGATTTTAATTTTTTCATTTTCCTAAAACAATTATTCACTGATTGTAAGATATTCCAGACTTGGGTTAGGCCATAAGAATATAGTGTTGATCAAAACTGACACAGTTCTTGTGTAGTGGAACAGAAATATTGATTAAACACAAATGCATAATTACAAACCATAATAAGTTCTGTAAAGAAAAAGATCATGATGTTAGGAGGAACTGATAACATAAACCCAATTCAATGGAAGTTGGCTGTGTTTTTCAGGGAAAGGCTTCTCTGAGAAAGTAGTCATTAAGCTGAGGCTGAAGGCTAAGTAGATGTTCACCAGGCAATACGTAATGATGACCTCCAGCTAGAAGTGACAGTATGTGTGCAGACCCTGAGGCAAGAAAAGACTTGGGGACTTCACAGAAAGGTGCCTAGGGTGCTGTGTGACGTTCTGAGCAAGGGAAGAAAAGAGCATAGAAGTTAGAGTTCTGTTCACATAGTATTCTACACAGTAGATAGGTGAGAAATTTAGATTGCCTAAGTATAAATGAGAAAGCTTTTAAGAAACTGAGTGATGGGATTGAGGTTTTAAAAGTTTTAAGACATTAGAACTGGTCATCAACTAAGAATACAGAAACTAGTGAAATTTGAGCTCTGTTTTGGAAATCACTATTTCCTATGCAATAGTGTGATAAACTGATTTGGCTTTAGGAATTACGGTAAGAATAAAGTTAACATTGATTCCAACAGTGATTTACAACTGTCTTCAACACTAATGTGACCACAAACTTGTGGAGATTGTATTTTGTACAGTTTGAGGAATATAGCTATACCAAATGTTTTTTGGGTTGTTTTTGGATTTGTGTAGTGCTGATGATTGAACCAAAGATTTCATGTATGCTGAACAAGTGCTCTGCTACTAAGCTCGAGCCCCAGCTTAAAGATTTTTGAGCAGATCTCCCAGGATGATAAAACCATCCATAGGACGGCTAAATAGTTGAGGGAAGTGGCTGTAAATTTATTTCATCTGAAATATCGTCTACATTTAATTCAGCTGATTACTATTAAGACAGACATTGAGATTTACAAAAATATAAAACAGTCCTTAGTTTTTAAAAAATATGTAAAGGCAGTGGGTTGGTTATTAAATGATTGTAAATAATGCTTTAAAATTTGCTGATTTAATCCTAATGTGGTAAATTGACAGATTTAATCCACACAAGCAAAGGTTCCAGTTCTTTTTTTGTTCTTGTTTTTGGTACTGGAGATCGAACTCAGGACCTTGCACTTGTGAGGACAAAAAGGTTTGGGATCTGCTCCCATTGCCCACACGGCCTGTTATCATTTGTGATAGCAAAAGAAGTGTGGCTGAGATGATTGAGATGGCTTATGGCTTTGAGTCAGCAATTCCTTAATACAGGTTGTATAGTAATCCTATTACATGCCTATTACATGGCAGGCTTTCATTTGCAGATACAAAGTGAAAAGAAGAATAAAAGTTTTCATGAAGCTATTTCATGAATGTTTGTCTTTCATACTTCTTTGATGTAAAGATAGTCTTTATGAAACAGTGGGCAAATAGGTATTAGTTATGAAATTCTTCTGGTTGGTAATACTGGGGATTGAGCCTGGGATCTTCCTACCGCAACCTCCTGAGTAGCGAAGATTATAGACATGAACTACCATACCTGGTCTTAAAATTCTTTTTGCTTTAATGTCCTTATTTTACAAAACAGATTGTTGGAATAACTCTCAGAACTTCAAATTGATTTTGGAAATCATACTGGTCTGGAAAAAAATTGAAGTCTTGGTAGTCTGAAGGCAGGAATAAAAGATGAGGATATTCTAGGCCCAGACACAAGAGGCAAGTCAAGGACATGGAGGCCAGCAAAGGTAGTTCTGGTAGATAAGAAGTAACCAGTGCAGGAAAGGAGCAAATAAGTCACTAAGATGGTTAATATCTTTGGTCCTATGACAGTGATTCTCAACCCTGTTGAATAGTAAAATTGATTAACTGAGCACATCAAAAAAAATATAAGGATCCTAGGCCCCATATTCAGAGATTCTGATTTAATTAGCCTCAGTAGAACCTAGGCATGATGTTTTTAAAAATCTCAGGTGATCTGAATGGGCATTTGGGATTGAGAACCACTGTCCTAACCTTTCGTCAGATAGTCTCTGCTTTTATGTTCCCTAATGTGTGGGGACCTGCAGAGGTTGTCAGAGGCCCATTGGTAACAAGGACAAACCCTCCTAGGAAGGTTTTTATTTTCCTAAACCACTCATTGATGTCAGTATAGTTATTTAACAAAACTTAACGACAAAATAGTAAGCACTTTTTGTAAGTATAATTGTATTCTATCAAATTGAACCATCAGTTAACTTTTTTGGGGGGTGGGTAGCGGGGATCAAACTCAGAACCTTGGGCTTATGAGGCAGGTGGTGAAACCACTGAGCCTGATTAGTTAACTTCTGACACTTGTTAACAAATTTATACTTTGAAGTCATCTTTCTTCCTTTCTAATCTGTTGTTATTTCTGGCTTTTTTGTAGAGAAAAAGCTTTTTTGTAGGTACATACAGGGATTGACAAATTACAAGCGAATGTTTTTTTCACCTAATTTTCGTTCATATATGTATATATATATGGTTATTAAATGATTGTAAATAATGCATATATAGTTATTAAATGATTGTAAATGCATATGCACACACACACACACACACACACACACACACACACACACACAAAATATACGCCCAGAACTAGATCACACACACACACACACACACACACACACACACACACACAAAATATCCGCCCAGTACTGGAGATCAAACTCAAGACCTTGCATTTGTGAGGCAGGTGCATTGCCACTGAGCTAAATCCCTGTCCCTTCACCTCATTTTCTTGCCGGTGGGAGTTTGTAAATGCTTCGTGGTATTCGACCTGGAAATAATACTTCTTTGTGGCCATCTTTGCTGTATGCAGTGCAAAAAGTAGCTTTTTTTTCTTTTTTTAATAATGCAATTTTATTTATTTATTTATTTTCCTTTATTGAGTTTGTTAGTACATTTAAGGTATACAGTACAATTACATTCATTATTGGGATCTTATTCCTTTACATGACAGGTCTCATTTTTTCCCCTTGTCCTCCCTTTATGCCCTCCTCGCCTCCCCATATACAAACACTTTATTTCCATTTTTTCATTGTCATATTTTTTTCTTTTCCCTTTTTACCTTTCCCCTACCCTTCTCATTTTCCCTACACCTTTAGCCCTTTTCTTCCTATTTCACATGGCCAGTTATATCATTAGGATCTTATGTGCTATTATAGTTTATTCACACCAGAGAAACTATTCGATTTTTACACATGTGTGACTTATTTATTTCACTTAGGAGTATATCCTCAATATGTATCCATTTTCCCATGAATGAATCTAATTTCTCATTCTTTATGGCTGAGTAGTATTCCATTTTATAGAAAAACCACATCTTAATCCAATTTCCAATTGATGGGCAAATTTGTCATTTCCAAGTTTTAGCTATTACAAACTGTGCCTGTATAAACAGTGTGCATATATCACTGTGGTATAATTCTTTTAATTCTTTTGGAAAAATACCCAGCAGAGGGATGGCTGGGTCAAATGGAACCTCTAGTCCCAGCTCTTTGAGGTATTTCCATATTGATTTCCATAGTGGTTGCACCAGTCTGCAATCCCACCAACAATGGAGAAGGGTTCCTTTCTCCCCACAACCCCACCAACATTTGTTATTGATTGATTTTTTGATAGCAGCCATTTTTTGTGGGGTGAGGTGGAATCTCAGTGTTGTTTTCATCTGCATCTCTTGAATGACCAGTGATGTGGAACATTTTTTCATATATTTACTTGCTCCTTTTACTTCTTTGTCTGAGAAATGTCTGTTCATTTTAGATGCCCATTTATGAATTGGGTCTTTATATTGGGGGGGCTGATTGTCTTGAGTTCTTTATATATTCTCAATAGTAGTCCTTTGTCTGAGGAGCAGCTGGTAAAAATTTTTTCCCACATTGTAGGTTGTCTCTTAGTTCTGTCGATGGTTTCTTTTGCAATACAGAAGCTTTTTAATGAGATGAGATCCCACTTGTTGGTTCTTTCTGCTAGTTCTCATGCTACTGAGTATTTGTTCATAAAATCTTTTCCTATGCCAATGTCTTCAAGAGTTCTGCCTAACTTAGCTTCCAGCAAGTTTAGTGTTTCTGTTTTAATGTTTAGATCCTTAATCCACTTGGATTTTAATTTAGTGCATGGTGAAAGATAAGGGTCCAGTTTTAATCTTTGGCAGGTTGAAATCCAGTTTTTCCAACACCATTTATTAAAGAGGCTATCATCTTTCCTCCATTGAGGATGTTCAGCTCCTTTGTCAAAGATGAAGTAGCTGAGTACATCTGGATTTGTTTTTGTGTCTTCCAATCTGCTCCACTGATCCACAGATCTGTTTCTTTGCCAGTACCATGTTGTGGTTATCACAGTGGCTTTGTAGTATAGTTTCAAATTGGGAATTGTTATACCCGCTACCATGTCTC